TCCAAAGTTCTAGGCTTGAAGGTCACTGTATCTGTGTGATATCTTCTGGTCCAGGCCTTTGGGGTGTTCTTCTACAATTTTACCCTGGAAAGAAGACTAAACACAGTAATGGAATTTATGGAGATTGATATGAAATGGGGTAATAGAGTTGTGCATGTGTAACTATTATGTTAAGGGTAAGGAATATAATACTGCTACATTAAAATCTACATTTACTACACCACTACTTCTAAAATCTTCAAATCTTCATTCGCGAAGCGTAGCCATGATGATGACTTCTAAAATCTACACAAAATAAAAAAAATAAAAAACTCTGAAGCATCAGTATGTGTTCAGTTTTTCCATGGGATTCAGTCCTTTAAACTAGGAGGTAATCTTGGCTATATTAGCCTGCAAATAGGCAAAATACTTCATAAAATGGTAGTAGTTAAAGAATTCACAAATTCTGTCCTTCCTCCATTTTTTATATTGATGCTTATTTTATATACCAAACCAAAATCCAAGCAGTGGAAACATGGCAGGGTGCCAGTGTGCTATTAAACTGTGTTTACAGAGATGTTTTCCCCATGCAATTTTATGAGGAGCTGTTTTCTATAGCTTGACTTTTCATTAAAGGACCCAAAACATGAAGCTCACATCTTGTTTTCTTAGTGAAAATTGCCCTGAGAGGAGAATTTTCATAGTTTTCTCTTGTTTCTTCCTGCACAGGACTTCTTTATTACCTCAGACTTTTTCTTAGAGCATATTGTAGTACCTGCTACACATCTACTCAGTTTTAATACAATCTCCACCTTCTGAGATTGTTTTTGGTTGCCCTGCATAATTAGGAAGTGTCAACCGACAAACAGCTTCAGATTTTAGTCCATGTGTAGACCCTCTGGTTTTGACGTCTGGCAGCTGAAAATAATTTCAGGATTAGGAAACATCCAGACTCCTCCTTCAACTGCTACACAGTAATTTTTCTCTGTATGAAGGCTCTAAACAGTCACAAGAGCACAGTCTTTCAGAGAAAGGACATTCTTCTCTTGTGTCAAGAATTGGCAGCAGTGCTAAAACTTTCCTATAGCACAATCTCCACCAGTTGGTTGCTCCCAAAGCTTGAAATTATTGTAATTAAAGGTAATTTTACAAAATTTTTGAAAATGTTTTAAAATCTTTTTGAAAATATGGCTTTTTGATAGTCTTATCCTAATGCATTTCCTTATTATCTCATATGCTTGTTCCCTTTTAAAAGTGTTCCTCTTTATGCGTAATTATGATTCCATTTTAGCATCTCAGATCTCTTCTATCATTTCATTTAATTAAAAGGCATTCAACTAATGCTGCAATTTGACTGAAACACCACAACACAATTAATCACAATTTTACATTTTTCTTTCAGCTGTTCTCTCTTACTAGATTTTCTTTTGTGAGTCTTCCTGCTTTAATAATACCTCAAGAGGTGCTACACATTACCAATTGAATTAACCACTGAATAAGAAGACAGCATTACTGGAGGTCAAGGATGATCATGGTGTGATTATATTCATTAGCAGCAAGAAGAGAACAGTGTCAAAGGGGCTGAAAACCAACACAAAGTCTTACATGCAGAGATACACATGCATATTAAAAATTAGGAAAATATTAAAAATTGGGACTTCAGAAAAGCAACTTTGTAACAGCAAGTATGAAATTGCTGTTTAAAAGAAATTAGGTAGAAATACAGGAGCATCAAGAATTCTTAAAAAAGTATGTTGGATGCCCAGAAATCTGCAATCAAGAAAGGAAGCAAGTAGATCAAGAGAGAGTATGCAGACAATGAAAAGCAAATACAAATAATTGAATTGGTTGTAAATCAATTTTAAATTTTGGGTTAAATTTGGAAGCTGTTGAAAAGAAAGGTGTTGAATAGCTAAAGGAACATGACCAAATAATGTGTAAGATGGAAGAACAGTAAGGAGGGATATTTGAGTCACTTAAGTATTTCAAAATACTTACAAAAAAGCAAAAGGATCTCAGTCTTACCTCTTCTAAAATGTGTAATTAACACTTCAGTTCACTGGAGATCTAGACCAAGGAGACTCCTAGAGTGCGAAAGGCATACTGGATTCTAACAAATACAGTTGTTGAGAAACCAGAATTAGCATGCAAATCCAGCAGATGTTTGTGCATTTGGAAGCAAAATTATAACAGGATAAATCCATGCAGTATTTTAAAGGCCACGAGGAAGTGTGAAAGGTGGTGACTAAGACAGATTTCACAGTAACAGTTTTATCAGGTGGTCCAGTTGGTATCTTCCAAGAACTCATTAATTAATAACACTACTTAATACTGAACATGACAAACAATTTAAAAAATTTTTAAACATCAGAGAGAATCCTTAACTCAGGAAATTTGCCAATATTGTATTTATATTAAAAGCCACAAAAAACAAGTTAACTTGGTTAACCTGTTACCAAGAAATCAGTTGCACATAAATTAACTAAAAGATTGCAAAAAAATGAAATATTGAAAAATAATCCTACCAGACAAATGTTTGTCAAACAAGTCACATTAATTTTTGATGGGATTATAAATTTAATTGGCAAAGATAATTGTCTAGAAATTAATGCAAATTTCAATTTAGGACATAGTCTTAGAGAAGGGAACTAATTGAATAGTTTTCTATTAGGATATAAGAACTAAGGAAGTGCTCCAAGTAGTATATTTTATAATTATCTCTTACTGTTTAGAGTTCTCATTCCTCCTTCTGACTGTGAGAAATGATGAAACAGAAAATCATTACATCATAGAAAATTCTCAGATGGAAGGGATCTAATGAGAATCACCAAGTACAAGTCCTGATCCACACAGGACAACCTAGAAGTCAAACCATATATCAAAGAGTACGGCCCAGTCATTCCTTGAACAATGACAGGCCTGGGGCCATGATCGCTTCTGTGGGAAGCTTGTTTCAGTGCTTGACCATCTTTCAGTAAAGAACCTTTTCCTAATCACCAGTCTGAACTCCCCTGATGCAGCTTTAAGTCATTCCCTGGAGATCTGTCAACAGATACCAGAGAAGAGATCAGCATCTCCCCTTCCACTCATGAGGAAGTTGTAGATAGCAGTGAGGTCACCCCTCAGACTCCTCTAAGCAGAACAAACCTAATATTCTAAGCTGCTCCTCATAAGCTATGCTCTGTGGTCCTTCCACTACCTTTCTTGCTCTCCTTTGAACACATCCTAATATTTTTATGTCCTTCTTATATTGTGGAATCCCAAACTGCACACAATGGCAGAGATGAGGCTGCACCAATGTTGAGTTCAGCAGGATAGCCCCTTCTTTCTCTCAAAAGGAATTAATACTCTTCATTGGCCAGAGAATATATTTTCAGAGTACCCAAGAAACATTGCCCTTATGATTAGACATTTGTAGAAGGAATGGAGCCTACTGAGTATCTGACATATTTCTTGTATCTTAATTTGTTTGCTTTTCTTAAAAAATGCATATTCAAAGGAGATCTAACTTTGGCCTGAATTTTAATTCAGATGTTTCCAAGCCAAACTCTATGGAAATAATTGCACCAGTGTTTTTTTCAGTTGTTTGGGGTTTGGATTTTTTTTTTTTTAATGAGATAAACAACACTTTATTTCTAGTATTGAAACAGTTATTTTCTAAGAGGTTGACTGTTTGTACTGATTTGTACTACAGTTGATTTATTGGCCAAAGCCTTCAGATAATGTTGTTTTCCTGAAAAAAATAAGATCAAGAATATGGAAAAACACTTGTCGAAATGAGTACCAAATTGAGGAGGTCAAAGAGGAGGTGGGTTTGCTTGTGACTGATCAAAAGTAAATGCACTTTACAATGAAAAAAAAAAAACACAGGTTGTTTCAGGTTTTTCAGGCTTTGGGGGGTGTTCTTTGTTGGTTTTTTTTTTGTTTGTTTGTTTGTTTGTTTGTTTTGCTTTTTGAGTGTTTGGGTTTTTTAAACAGAGTAAAAAATATAACTATAAAATCTAAACATTTAGTAGATTGCTGCTCCTGAAATAATTACCTTTCTAACAAATGAACATCCTTTCATTATTTATTTGTCTGAACCAAAATTGCTTGTTTACAGGATGATGCATTTAAATATTACCCTGCATCCCACAAATTCTCAGCACAATAAAAAAACAAACAAACAAATGAACAGGTTTTTTCACGGTCAGGCTTTCCTTTGTCCAAAATAATAAGAGACATAATTGTCATTTTTCTTTCTAGTTTTAAAACAAGAACATTTTATTGTGTACTGAGTCTACAGTAAAGCACTCTTTTAAATTACAGTAATTACAAATTAAATTACAGTAATTACAAAAAAAAAAATGCTGTGACTACCCAATGCAGCTTTCAAACACAGATACACTGACTAGCATGGTGTAGGTGGGAGACCACAGGGCAGCGTATTGTGAATAATTACTCCTTTAAAGATTAATGTGTTTGCACATCATAGTTTACTCAGCAGCAAGTAAGGTCTTACTGAACAAGGCAGAATTATTTTGCCTCTGCTGCTTTAAGTGTAAGATAGTATTCACTGTGAGTTAGTTATTCTTTCTCCTGTGTGGCAAATGTTTACTAACGGATCCTTTTTATGTGTATATGTATTTGATAGATTACAAATTATTTTCATTTAATACCTTTTTTTCTGAAGGAAAACAGGATTTGCTTTAATATCTGTGCTGGCTATCCAAAGCCTCTGTGGGTTAAATACCACTGTTTCTTGGTTTGACTTTGCATTCACTGCCATGGGATCAGGATGATTGTCTGAAAGCACCCAATTTACTCAAGGCAGAGTTCCAAGTAATCAAACATCTTTGTGAGATACTTCCAGAAAATATCTAGCAGGTGTCAGCAGCTGTGTAACACTGCTGGGAAGGCACTGGAGGTGGATGGCAAAAAGCATGCTCGCAATTGAGGTTACTTCTTCAAAGATTAACTTTAAAACCTAACAAGATTCCCTAAATAACATGTGCATGAATATATATCCATATATATGGATATTAGCAGTTGGATCCAGCTGGGTTCTGGATTACTTCAAATCATCCCACTGACTTAAGAGGAACTGCCCAATAAAAAATTCCATCAAAACTGCCCAGATGATTTCAGCATTAGTCTTTAAATGTCTTCTTTGGAGCTATCTTCCTTATAGAGGTGCAGTATTTGCACTGCTTTGTACTTACTTACACTACGAAAAAAATCCTGCAGCCTATTAACTTTAGCAAGACAATAAACCTAATCTCAAGCTATCAGCATCCAGGATCAGAAAAAATGTTTAAATAGATCTGGTTTACAACTCAGGCAGACTTACTTAGTTTATCCGCTGGATTCAGAGGGCCTAGTACAAATTTCACGGCAGGCTGAAAGATCTCATCGAAAATGCTTTTGTTTGCTATGGCAACAAAAGATATCTGCTAAACTTCGGAACTGGCATAACAAAACAATACAGAAAGAATCATCTAAATATTCCTTCTGTCATTTTAATAATTCTTCTTGGGGAACAGGTGCACATGTAAGATGCTGCAGTGCTGTAACTATTGACCTGGGTCAGCCAACTGAGACAAAAAAACTACCCACAGCAAACACTTCCTTTAGAACCACCATGGCTCTTTTACAGTTTCTCTAAAACTATTCTCTATAAGCCTTATGCGTTAGTAAAATCTTAATTATTGTAAGAATTATCTTAATTCTGGGAAGCAGGATTTGCACTGCAATCACTTTTTATGAAAGCTCCAGAAAGCAGTTATGGTGCAGCCATTCATTTGTTGCTTGTAAACTAAAAAGAGTACCAGAGACCTCTCTCCCACTCCCCCACAACCTTCTGAAATACTTTCTGAAACACTTTTTCCTACCACAAGCAAAGCAATTTCTAAATTTACAGCCTTTTAGGTTTGGAAATCCTATAGTGCAGTCACCCCTCCTCCCATCTAAACTAATCTCTCCAGAAAGATAAACTATTGAATTATAGCTAGGCTTGTGTAAGAGATGGAAAAGATTCAGTGACTATTACTAAAGTACTGTAAATAAACCTTGTGAAACTCATGTCACAACCATTTTATTATTGCATATGTGATCTCAGTGAATTGATGCACATTCTCTAAAGACCTTCTGTCTCCCTCCTATTTTCTATGACCTCTTTTTTAAGACTGTCCTTTTCTAACGACTTGCCTTCTGACTTGCAGGTTTGATAGGGGTGGCAGTATTTTGCAGACCTTAACTTGCAAATCTGCCTTCAAACATAAGGTAAATGAAAGTAATTCATATACCACTACGTTTTCTTTTTCCTTCTTTCCACTTTTGTCAGAAAATAATACCAATTTACAGTTGCTAATTACTGGAAAAAAGAAAATCATGAGACAGAGGCTGATATTAATGCAGGAAAATAAGGTTTTTGACTGCAAAGACACAAAGAATTAGACTTTGTTTTGAAATCATCTTTTTCTTCCCTAAATATACCAACAGTACAAAAGTACAAAGAGGAAAACTGCTCTTCTAATTGATTTTGAGGCTTGCTTGTTTCATTTTGGGGTTTGAAGTTTTTTTGCCCTTTTTGTTTTTTTTTTTTGAGAAAATGGGCAGTTGTGAGCCTTAACATAGTATAAAAATGATACTTCAGTTGCACAATAACATCTCCCATTCCCACTTGCAGAGCACAGCATATGACCTGTAATCATCAGTTCTCAGTTGGAAGCCCACACCACTTTCACTTGACAAATACTTTTCTTTGTTGCTGTCTTCTTCTTTTGTGCTGATATATGTGGTTGGGAAAAGACTTAGGGAGCAATTGTTCATCACAACACTTTCATTAGATATACAGCCACTCAAACAGACTTTCTGACCTCTGATATACTGAGTCCTGACACTGAGGAAGCCTTTAATAGAATTTCTTCTGACAATCTAGAAATAGCAATATCCCTTTTTTTTTGCACAAAAGCCATGTCAATTAACACAAGTACTTATATTCAAAGAAAATACATGAAAAAGGCAATGCCAACCTGAAGTTTGAAGCTCTTTACATAAATCACATCTTCCTAGATGGTGCTTTCTCTCCTTTAACTGTACTTCTGTGTACCCATTGCATAATCTAGAGTACATGGTGGAGTGGGATGCTCAGCTTTTTCTCTAAAGCAAGACACATAATTACAGCTAGCAAAATCAGAAGAATCAGTTAACAGATCCTCTGAATTTGTGTGCTCTACTCATCTTACTTTTCCTACCTCTGGCATCATTTAGTAGTCTTTGTTTTCTTCATATCTCTTCTTCATATTTCTGCATCATCTTCAATAACTGCCACTTTTGAATTAATTGTTAATACATTTTTACTTGCAAAATAACATTACTTTTTTTTATGGAGAAATTTTATCTTGAACCAAATCTAGTAAAGTGGTTGAGAAGCCATGTATAGAAATGCTGTTTCTCTTTTCTTGGTTTTTTCTACACTTCCAATATGAGTTCAAGGGGTGTGTAGCTACAGAAGAATAGTTAAAGGTTATCAGATCTTGCATTCATATTTCTTACTTCTGCCTATAATCAGGTCTTCCCACATCACTTGGGGTCACCACCATCATACTAAATAGCAGAGCAGAATGAAGTTACACCACAAACTTTGATTACCAAGAAAAAGAGAGAAGAAAAAATAAACTGTTAATGTTATAAACACTTCTTGTGTATTTCTATATTCCTTTTAAGCAGGCACTGATAACAGTATCTTTACTTTTGGGTTCATTTTTCAGTGAGCCGCAATGTCAGTTCAATGGTATTATACTGAATCAAGGCAGCAAACTTCAGCATTTTGCTTTCGCCATAAGTGAAAATGCTAGGGCTTCTTGCCGTTCTAGTAAATGACACAGCCAATATTATTGAGCAATAAGAAAAGACTTATTAGCTAAGAATAAAGAAAGTAAATGCCTTCATAATGTATTTTTTCCCTTTGCTGGGATTTTTTTTCTTTCATTGGTGTTTATCTTCCCAGAAGTGACCAGGAAAGACAGACTGCAATGAGCTTGGTTTTAACAAAATTCATAAGTATAAACAAATGTTACATGCTAAATAGAAGCATAAAAAACCTGAAAAATACTTCCCTTTTCTCATGAAAATAATTATTATTGCATCAAACATAGCCTTACTCACTGCAGGATGGAAACATAATGCAGATAAACAGTTATGCCAATGGCTCCGTCAGTGGTTGCTAATTGTGTCCAGTGTCTCAAAGGCAACCATATTAGCCAAATCCCAGAAGCTCTTTGGCCTCACCTCCAAGGAGAGGCAAAACAACCAGAGGGAGAGTGGTCAATGAATCTTTCTATATATGCCTTACAAAAAATAGAAACCTATGCAGGTTCAATGTATTTTCCAAAACCGAAATATTTCTTGCACTATTTCATGAGAATTTTGTTTATGTTTGTTCTCTTGGAAAGGGTTTGAAGAGAAAAATATAAACAGAGAGCTGAGGTATAATATTATGGAGGTTTTAATTACATTTACTTGGGTTTTCTTCCCACAGGAAGCTGAGAGAAACCAGATGGTTAGTTACACTACTGTAGATAGTCAACAAGCTCTTGTACAGTGAATGAAACACCATGAAAGATAATACCAAACTGGTAGCCAATGTTCTTATCAGTAATCTAACATGTAATCAAACTTGAAGGCAAACATTATAAATGTAACGAAGATAATCCTTTTTAGCACATGTTGACATCATTTTCATTCCCATAGACATTTATGGACTCTGTTTTCCTGAATAGAAAGGGAAAATACCAGAACTTAACAGACAGCAAAATGCTGTCAGAAAGAGCTAAAAATTTATCAAGTGTAGTTTGGCTGGCATTGTAGAATTTTGATTTTTCTCTCTTCTCACTCTTCAAATATTTTTGGATAAACTTTGAGGTCTTGTCATGCATTAAGTTTAGCGGGTATTTTAGGAACATACTTTCCATAATCACCTTGGTTTGAAGGCAAAATTGCTTAACTTATATATTAAATAAACCTTTCTTGGATTATTTTACTTTATTATTTTTCTTGAAATTGAGACAGGAATCTCTTTTATCTGATTGTGATTCCTTAGTGAAGATATTTGTGCCTTAGAAATGGATAGATCATTTCACTGGCTTTATCTCCCTGTTTCAAAAGACTTATTTCAAGCCTCTAAACAAGCCATAAATCATAAAACCTAGGATTAAAAAGAACAACAACAAATCACTTAAGAGAAAATAAGTCTTTCCAGTGAAACAAACAAAAAAAAAAACTTCTCTAGTTTCCTGGTCTAGGCAAACTGTCATTTATTGAGGCTAAAAATTAAATAAATTTCTGGTCTAGAAAAATGCTGTTTATTGAGGTTCTTGTAAATAATTTCTTTTTCTGGCAAATGCTCTTCCTACAAGTCCATATAAACTACCAGAATACTATTTCTTCACCTTCGGTAAACTCAATAACATCCCTTTTGAAGTTTCCTACTTTCTCTAATCTCAATAATCAGAAGCATGTATTGTCCATCACAGAAAAAGTCAAATGCTCCTCTCCTTCTCTTACACAGTGTGCTTTGCTCTATATTTCAAACTACTCTTCTTCTGGAACTATATTTTCATTAATTGAACTATACATATTTTATTCCTTTTCTTTACACAGATGTAAATTTTTTCTAAATGCATTAACAATGTGCTGATATATATTCAAAGCCATAACACAAAAAAATATATTAAAATTACCTATTATTCTTGGTATTGGAGTAGCATTGGATTATGAGAAAACTTTGCTAAACTAGAAAGTATCACTGTAGAATCCTTTTTTTAAAATTCACTGTATCTGTTAAAACTATCCAATATGCTGTCATGCACAGCTGTCAGGTATCTACAGTTATAGGGACAAATAACCAAACTTTTAGCTGTCCTTTTGAAAAGTGCTTTTACAGGTATTCAGGGAATTCCACTTAGTTCAACTGAATAAATGACCTCATTAAATTTAATAACATAAAATTCCCTTTATTACAAAGAGATTGAACAATTTTGTTGGCAAAGGATTTCTTGTCTCATGAGTAGTGATCCCTACCTTCCATTGAGAAATACTGATATTATATCTCATACCAGAATAATTACAACTTAATTCTTTATCCAGAAATTGATTCATTTGTCTTGAAAAGGAACCAAGACCATAAAAAT